AGGAATGGGTTTCTGTGCAGTCAGTCTGAAACGGGACCCAAACTCCACATTTTTCCTTCTCCAAGGGAGCATTTCTAAAATGCATTAACTTGAGCTCTTGAGTCAATGTATAAACAGAAAACCCAGCTGTATAAACAGTGCTCAAAGCCCTCTCCCTTATCAGTCCGTGATGGCAATGAGTGGCCTTGCCAGTTCCAAGTAGAGCAGGGATGGCACATCTGGGTCTTATCTTACATCCTGACCACAAAGACGCACAGACCTTGTCAAGTCTGACAAGAGACCCAGGAACGGTGCCAGGAGTTGGTGACCTCCTGCCCCAAGATAAGAGTATAGGAACAGGAACAATCTTTTATGGTCAAGAGTGCCGGAACAGGAACAACTGTTTATGGTCATGGATGTCAACTTACGTGTATAAGCTAACGTGCTTGGATTCCTGGGAAAGGGGGGAGAGGGTGCCTGGAGGATATATATACTGCATGAAATTTCTCATTTCTTTGGACTTGCTGTGGACTGACCATGCAAGTGCCTTCTGCTATCCGGAGAGCAGAATAAACTCTTTCTCTGAATCAACCTCGGTGTCATTTGACTTCCTCCCATCCGGGAGCAACGCAGACCCAACCAGTCAGTAAAGTCTAAGAAGGCTACAGAGGAACCCCATAGGACAGAATGGGGGAGCAAAGGAAGAAGTCCCATCACACCTGCTGTTGTGACATTGCCTTTCCCTTTGTATCCTGGGTTCTTCAACCCTCCGTGAGCCATTTTCACAGGACTATCAATCACTGGATGTCACCCTTGTCAGGTGACCCATTTTAGCCATGCCACAAAGGAAAATTCAGAAACCGCTACCAGTCAGTTCTATTTTTCTGTTCTAATTTTCATACTGTCCCTAATTAGGTCCAGTGCCTGACCTGTAAGATTACTGGTTTTTTGAGAAGTATTTTTTTGTTTCTTATACGAAGTTTCAAATTCCACAACTCTCTTCCAGGATGCACTTGCTCTCATCAGATTAGATGACCTTTTTCTGGAATCCTTTGAAGTAACAGATGGTGAGTCTTCCATTTTTAAGGTCTTGTGTTTTCAAAACCTCAGTATAGGTGCATTTTTTCAGTTACTGAGGGATGTATGAACACTTACAGTTAAGTAACAAACGCTACTGCTCACTATTAAAATGAAAGGCTGTTTTAAATATCATTTTCCTTCACTCTTATAACAACACAAAATGATAGCAGAGCCTGTGTGTCCTTAACTTTAGTTGTCTGATCTGCCTGTTAAAGCTTGCAGCCTTAGTTTTAACAGTTAATAGTTTTAAGTGTTATTAATTTCAAACAGCTTGCTTCAATTTGATTATTCATTTTGGAATAAACATTTAAAAGTATTTCATTCTCATGTGGTTCTCAGTGATCTCCTATTCAAGAGATGAACTTGGTTCACAGCTACTGAGCGTTAGTTGTGCAACATCGCATTCACGCATATCATTCATTGAGCCCAGAACAAATTTATTTAGGACTAGTTGGAAAAAATTGTACGATGAAGTAACATTGACCTTTTCTCTTTAGTCAAGCCGTTAAAAGGAGATCATCTTTCTAGAGCAATAGGAAGAATTGCTGGGAAAGGTGGAAAAACAAAATTCACTATTGAAAATGTGACCAGAACACGAATAGTTCTTGCAGACTCGTAAGTATAATCCAGTAACCTATAACATTTTTTGTGTGGTATGAATATGAATTGGTGTACTTTCCATGCAACGTTCTGTCTGGACAAGACTTTTTAAAAGTGATTGTAGGGGACCCTGAATAGGCAGTAAGATGCTATCTGGCTACGTCATTTACTAGGCAGCTGATGAAACCTCTAGGTATATTTTCTCAACAATTTCAAATAGCTACGTATGTTTTCTTGTGGCATTTATTCCTCATGAAACAGCTGTATTATACAGCACTAAGTAAAGAATGGATTAGCCCCAATTAAGATGGATTCTTCAGCTGCCGCTGCCGCCCCCCTCGGTGTGCTACGGTAGATGGTGTGATGGTTATCATGCAGTGCAGCAAAGTGGATCTGAAATGAAGTAGATGAGGACAGTACGATGCCATGGCTACTTTTAATGCTTAGGATTTAGAAAGAGCTGATCATCTTGATAGATGACTGAAATCTCTTCTTATGGAGGCACAGTTCGGTCAGGTGCTGATTCTACCAATGTGAGACTGTTTGGTCCTTTGGGGTCACTAAAAGGATTTTTTTCAAGTATGAGTCTAATATTCCTAAATACTGTACATTCCACATGTAAAGTAAAACTTCTTATTTTCATTACAGGAAAGTTCATATTTTAGGGTCTTTCCAGAATATTAAAATGGCACGAACAGCAATCTGCAACCTCATCTTAGGTAAGCCTCTTTTAACAAAAGGAAATCTGGATTTAAATAGCCCTGCTTTGGGCTAGGACTTTTAACTGGCTTTGCTTCTATTGATGGCCAAGACAGTACATTTCTGAGCAGAAATAATTACTTATGACTTTAATAATCCAAAATGGTAGTAAGAGCTAGGTATAACCATTAGCACCCATACAGAATAGGTTCAGAGGCGGCTTTTGTACTACTATCTACAGGGCTACGCATCTCTAAATACTTGTTTGAAAGCTGCTTCTTTTGAATATATTTTACTCAGGGTTTTATCTATTTTTTAACCATTTATCATTTTTCCTATTCCTTAGCAGCATGACTTTTGTGTGCATGTTCATCTTATGTTTTAGGATTATGTCTAGTAAGATCAATATTGGTATCAATTATATTTTCATTTTAAGTGCTGAATTTCATTATCAGCAGTACTTACTAATACTTTGCTTTCTTCTACAGGAAGTCCTCCATCAAAGGTTTATGGCAATATTAGAGCAGTGGCCAGCAGAGCAGCAGAAAGGTTTTAAGACGGACAATGCTGGATTTGAAGCTAAATGGATTTTCTGTACAATGACTCGTATACAGAAACAGTGGGAATGGAGAAAAAAGCCTGTGGCAACTCTTCGCTCCAACATGGGTGTAGGAAAGAGTGTAACTCTGTTCTCCAGCAGACATATTGTCTGATGAGCATATGTAATAAAGATGGCAAGCAAAAGTTTTGCTATGGCCAACTTGCCTAACACAGTGTTGCAACGTGAATGTCCAATTTGATAATTCTATGCAGTGATCCCACAAAGTACTTGTATCCTAGCGATGTTCGGTAGCAGATGTTGGACCAGTGAGATGTGTGTTGACATGGAAACTCCCCTCCACCACTGATACCCCTCAAATTAGAAACTAGCCATAGTCTGTTTACTGTATTCGGACTATGACCGTTTTAAACACTGCATTAGATGGCTAATTTACATCTCTTCTTAATAGGACACAATGCACCCGATAAACTAGGGTATGAAGAATTATTGTAGGGTAGCTTAAGTATTGTGAATACTAAAGATAAAGGTAAAGGGACCCCCGACCATTAGCTCCAGTCGTGACCGACTCTGGGGTTGCGGCGCTCATCTCGCTTTATTGGCCGAGGGAGCCGGCGTACAGCTTCCGGGTCATGTGGCCAGCACGACTAAGCCGCTTCTGGCGAGCCAGAGCAGCGCACGGAAACGCCGTTTATCTTCCCGCCGGAGCGGTACCTATTTATCTACTTGCACTTCGACGTGCTTTCGAACTGCTAGGTTGGCAGGAGCAGGGACTGAGCAACGGGAGGTCACCCCGTCACAGGAATTCGAACCGCCGACCTTCTGATCGGCAAGTCCTAGGCTCTGTGGTTTTAACCCACAGCACCACCCGCGTCCCTAATACTAAAGATACTGGGCTTTAAATGACAAGACAGTGAATACTCATTTTTGCATCACCTCAACTAATTTGTTGATGGAGCAGTTAAACTCCCACTCCCCTAAAAGCTTTATATAAAATACTGAACACAGTTTAAGTAGTTCTAACAGGGATGGTTACCATGCTGAGGGGTACAGATCTCACTCCTGTATTGGTGTTCCCCCTGGGGTGCAAACAGTGCTTTTCCATGGGTGCTGAAATTGGTCTTTAGGCCTGCTTTCTCAAAAGCCCAGTCAAGAGTTGGAACTCTACTATATAATGTAACTCAGGAGAAATGTGTCCTATTCTGCATTTAGGAAGTGCTTTCTACTCATGCATGAATGTCATTGCATCCAAGCCAGTATTGATGGCCGGTGTGTGTGTACAGTGGTGCCCCGCAAGACGAAATTAATTCGTTCTGCAAGTTTTGTCGTCTAGCGAATTTTTCGTCTTGCGAATTATTATTTAGACAAAGGAAACAAAGTCGCGAGACGTTTTCGTCTTGCAAAGCAAGCCCATAGGGAAATTCGTCTTGCGAGGCAACTTGAAAACGGAAAAACCTTTCGTCTAGCGAGTTTTTGTCTTGCGAGGCATTCGTCTTGCGAGGTGCCACTGTACATTAAATTGTAGTCCAAATTACACTTGAAGCTATGATTAAGGTTTTACATCCCATTGTCTTATTAGTAAGACTATATATCTCCACTAGCTTGCTACAAGTTAGTTTTCTTCAGGAAGTTTTGACTAACACAGTAGCATCCCAAGAAGGTACCGTATTTTTCGCTCTGTAAGACACACCAGACCACAAGACGCAGCTAGTTTTTGGAGGAGGAAAACAAGAAAAAAAATATTCTGAATCTCAGAAGCCAGGACAGCAAGAGGGATCGCTGCGCAGTGAAAGCAGCAATCCCTCTTGCTGTTCTGGCTTCTGGGATAGCTGCGCAGCCTGCATTCGCTCCATAAGACGCACACACATTCCCCCTTACTTTTTAGGAGGGAAAAAGTGAGTCTTATAGAGCAAAAAATACGGTAAGTCAGAGGCAGCTGAATATCTGTCACTGATTATTTGGTGAAATACTGCTTGGGATTTATGCATAAACACATAACTGGCATATTAAACCTGAAATCAGGGGAAATGTTTTAGTTTTGCGTTTACTTGCCTGTTCTATAGAAGCTTCAACAATTCTATGGTAAAGTTCAAATATTTTATTTTTTATTCATACAGTATGAAGGTTCCTATAGTTCCAACAGTGTATGATGTAGCATGCAGAGGAAAATCTAAACATTCAACATAACGCATTTTCCACACACAAACTAAAAAAAAAAAAAAGGGCTCATCCCCCAATAAGAAAGTAATGTTAGCACTATTTTTCTATAACGCCAGCCAGGATATGCACAAGCAATTAAGAAATAGAAAGCATTTGCTAAAATGTTTGTAACAAATACTTATGTACAAAAAATTCACAAAAGACTAGTTCCCCCTTGAAGCAGAGCGCATGGCAGTTGACACTGGAACAGATACCCCCACTGGCTGGGATTCTAAGCCACGGCCTGATCCAGAGGAAGAAAGTTACATGTAGTGGAGATTCTCTGTTTTTAACATTTACCAAAGTTTGGCAACATTATCGTTTTAAATTATGCAAATCATGTAAACAAGAGGAACGTTTCAAATCGATCTACATGCAAAACTTCATGTCATGCAAGGACACCAAGCACCTGGATTTCTCTCTCACAGACAGAGCCCATGATGTGCAGCACTCAGTTGAAGGAACAGCTATGGCAGGCAGGCAGGCAGGCAGCTGATTGAAGTCCATACAGCCTGCCCTTTCCATTGCCAATTATAAAACCTTTTAAATAGGAAAAACTGCTACACAGGAAAGGGTGCGCTATCCTAAAAGTCTAATGAATGTTTTTTTTTTCTTCTAGCCAATAGTACCATTGCAGAAAAGGAAAGGATGATATAAAGTTGTAGAACATGGCTCGCTACTTTTATATCACACATATAAAGTTACTATCCATTACAAGTCATGATATGGACAAATCTAGAAGAAAAAAAACCCTCTCCAAATGCTGGAGAAGAAGAAGAGGTATAAATTTAGATAAAGTGAAGCTTTCCTCCTTCCCTATGGCATTGGTTAATGTTTTCCCCGTAATATCCGTAATAATCCTATATACACATATATAAAATATTACCAGTTTATTTATGCAACTTGGAACTACTACATTAAATGCATAAAAGAATCTATATGGTTGGGACATAACTTAATGGCAAGAAAGGTTTTATAGTCTCACTGTGCAATGGGAACTCTATACAATTGTCTTGTTAATCCTAAATTCTTAATTAAGCTAAGTGCTGAGAAACAAATGCAAATGCTTTCAACTGTTCTATCTAGACTTAATGGATCACAGCTGATGCTTACTAAGGGTATATTATGTGCAACTGCATCCATTTAGTAAGTGAAGGGATGAAATGGCCATAAGCATCTTTTAAATCCTATTTGCACACAAGGACTAGTTCTTGGCATTAACATTAAATTACATTTTCTCATCCTAATAAGTAGAATTGTACTGAGAGCTATCAAGCAAAGATGCAGTCCCTGGTAATATATCAACAGGTATATAAACAAACTTCAGTTTCCTGTCTTACAAAAAAATGTAATTAGGGAAATTAACAGGAAACAATGCTTTCTCTGCCAGTCAATATATAAATATTTGAAATAGTCACAGGAAAAAGGAAAGAGTTGACCTAACAACCATTTAAAACTTTACATTCTTCTACTATATATATATAAAACTGTGTGACATAAAAGTAAAGATGTATATCCATATATCGAACTGTTAATATTCTGCTTGGCACTTTGTACTCTATTTTTGTTTCTGAATCAAGTATATTAAATTAAAGCCCACTTAACTACTACATATAGAAAGCTACATATATATCTATATATAAATACACACATATATATAGATAGATATTTTCTTGTTATAAAAGATGAGAAAAATAAATTAAAAAGCCAACCCCCTTCCCTTTCTCCACCACACTGATATGCTCTTTCCATCTTGCTGTCCTTCAGACTTTAAAGTGCTACACTTGAGTTATTGAGAGAATAAAAGTTCAATAACACTTAGTTGGCTTCATGAGGCTCATGTTGGAAAATGTGGCTTCACAGAGAAAAATACTTCCATTTAAATACACAGAGAGCGTTGCTGGACGTCTTGAGCAGATCTTCAGAGATGGAGAAGAAAGCAAAAGTGTTGGGTGGTGTCCTAAAGAGTCACACATCTACCACCATCTTTTTGTGGATATCTAGGCCTCCTACAACCTGAAATGTTGATATAAGAATATTATATGAGAATTCGCAAGACAGTAGAGTATCGGCTGGTGGTTTAAATCAACTGATTCTGATCTGCTCTTCACAGAAATAGACTCTCACCTCAAGAAAGGTCCGTTTCCATAAATTCAGGGTTGTAGTTGTGGAACAACTTCTGTTCATGCCAAGATACCTCCCTCTTCCTCCCACATGCCTCCAGTGCGCACACCCCCAAATCTGCTCTGGGGTTTCCCCCCAACCCTTCAGGGCTTGTGTGGGCAGAAGGAAAGGGAGGCAAAGTTCCGTGCATGAGCAGAAATCTTTCCGTCGAAGCAATGGCTTCCTTGGCTACAAGTAATGAGTCAAAAACAGTATGCAAGACAGTTATGGCCACCTGCCAACATATTAATCCAAGTGGGTATAATAAGCACAGAATCAAGTGTGGGGCAGGTAGAGATATTGTTGCCAGTGTACAACTGGGAGCCTTAAAAGTGTGTTCTCAGTTGCGCATTGACAATGGAGGCTTGCTGATCGGCAGTGAGAGAAAGCCTGGGGACAGCTAGGCTACAGAGTTCCCCACAGGCAGCTGACTGTGTGCATAGTGGGGCAAGAGGAACTTTAAAGCCACTGCCTATCAGCTGACAGGTTGAGACTTCAAGCCCATCGAACTGGCTGTACGACTGAGTTCTCCATGGGAACATGGTACAGGAAACTGGCTTGGAGTCACAGCCTATTAAGCTGTGGAGCAGCAACTTCAAGCAGCGATTGGCTTGTGTTTCCTTTTGTAGTATGATTTGCACGCTGCAGAGGAAAAATTGCTCACCCCGTGTCATAATGACATCAGGCAATTGACAGGTGGGCAGTCTAAGTGGCCTGCCCACCCCTGAATTACCAAGTGGGTATAATTAGCACAGAATGAAATTACAACTTAGTTTTGCAACAGATTCTTGTAGCCAACCTAATTTTTCTCACATCTGAAGAGCTCAAACATTTGAAGGTGGGGAAGCTTTAATCTATGATAATCAAATTAGTAGCAGGAGGATAATTATGTCAAGTCTCCAGAATGCCCATATGATGTGAATGAAAAGAACTGCCAGAGGACAGTTGAGTCAATAAGGAGTCTTAAAATGGGAAGGGCTTAAAGCAAAATTAATACGTTATCCTGTAAAGAATTGAAGACAAATGTCGAAGAAAACAATGGAATAAGTTAAATGGGTTGTTTTCTAGGAAATAACGACATCATCTGCAAGGGCAAAGTTGAAAATGAAAAATGTGTATATAAACATACTTTACTAAAAATGAACTTACAGCACAGAATTCCTCAAAGGATATTCTTCCATCGCCATCTTTATCTGCATTTATTATGGTTTTGTCTACAATTTGCTGCAACTGGGTATCTTTGAGATTGTTCCCAACCATCATCTTCAGAACCTGGAAGAGCTCCCCATTGGAGATATAGCCATCTTTGTCCATGTCATAGATACGGAAAGCAACTGCAAGATAAGAAAAGCCCAGTAGCAAATATGGCCCATTCAATGTTTTCTTTCTCTCACACGCTGGTGATACCCTTTCTCCTTTTCTGTACTGTTTTCTATTAACACAACAGACTTATTCTGTTTAATAACTTCTGAGCAGTTGAATGTTCATAAAGAATTCTTTATCTTAGCAGCTACGTCAATGAGTATTTATTTATAGCATTTATTTATACCATTCATTCAGTTTCCTAATTGAAGCCAAGGCTCTTACTTTCACCACTTAGTGAAGTTCCAAAGACAGAAGATCAACTTCCTTTCAGGTATTTTTTAAAATTTATATTTTCTTTGGAAGAGTGAAGAAGAGACTTGGCAGGAACATTTTACTGCAGATCAGTGTTACTTCATCTAGACATCTTGTTTTTTTACAGTCATATCGGGTATCAGAGATATATGAAAAAATAGCTTCTATTAGGATCAGCTGTGCCATTTCAATCCTAAACACTGGTATAATTTGCCTTCAAAGTCACCGTAATTGTCTGGCTACAAAGTGATTGGCGTACTCCCTTTCAGAGTTGGTTACATTGGCTGAAACCCTAAACCCAATTAGCTGGAAATATGTTTCACTTATATGAGTGGGTCTTAGTTCTAACTAAACATGTTGAGATGGATCTAGAGCATGAGTAGGCAACATAAGGCCCAGGGGCCGGATCCGGCCCAATCGCCTTCTAAATCCGGCCCGCGAGTGGTCCAGGAATCAGGATCTTTTTACATGAGTAGAATGCGTCCTTTTATTTAAAATGCATCTCTGGGTTATTTGTGGGGTTCATTCCCCCCCCCTTCAAAATATAGTCCGGCCCCCCACAAGGTCTGAGGGACAGTAGACCGGCCCCCTGCTGAAAAAGTTTGCTGACCCCTGATCTAGAGTGCCCCGTCTGCTCCTCTGCAGGGTCTGGGAAAACAATTTTTACCTGTTAAAGGTAAAAGTAAAGGTACCTCTGACCGTTCAAGTCCAGTCGTGGACGACTGGGGTTGCGGCGCTCATCTCGCTTTACTGGCCGAGGGAGTCTGCATACAGTTTCTGGGTCATGTGGCCAGCATGACTAAGCCGCTTCTGGCGAACCAGAGCAGCGCACGGAAACGTTGTTTACCTTCCCGCTGGAGCAGTACCTATTTATCTACTTGCACTTTGACGTGTTTTCGAAGGCCCCAATACAACCTCCCACACTGTTCCAGAGGGTTCCCCAACCCTACGAAGAAGCTTTTCAAAGGGAAGGAGAAACTGATAAAGCCTTCTCTGCTAGGACAGCTTTAAGTCTGAATTCTCTAGTGGGGTGTATATCTATATGGGTGGCTGCGGGGTGAAGAAATCATTCTATGCTTTATTATTGGCAAATGACACAATATTTGCAGGCACAGTATTTCATTATGTAAAAAACAAACAGGGCCAGAAAAGCTTTAGTGATGCACCTACAAATCTAAAACACCCACTAAGGTACTTTCAATTACCAAAAAAAAAAAAAAAAAAAAAAGCTCCCAACACAAAGCCTGTGTATTTCACCTTGAACTGTACAAAAGATTTAGTGTGTTAATTTTCCATTCTCCACATAATTAAGGATTTTCAATTGATATTCAAGTTATTTCAAAGTACTTACTGTTTTATTGAGAGAGACATCTCAATGATGATTTTCTTCTCCACCCCCTCCCCAACTGCCCAATTTCAAACTTTATTTGCCAGCTAAGAAAATATCTGATACTTACACCTCAACTTCTGTTCCTTGTCACCTTTGACACTGAACTGAGAGACTCCTTCTATAAATTCTATAAAAGCAAGAAGAACATTTATAAAATATTTTACATATTACATAACATACAATTATCCCCCTGTGGACTTCAGTAATGCATGTCTAGCATTCTCTCGAAGTAAGTCAATCCTGAATGTAGTCTGCCTAGGTTGGTCCAATGTTTTTGTGTGCTACAGCGTCCTATGGGCTTCACAATACTCATAAAAATCTCAGCTTTCATTTCAGGTGCTTCCAGATGGAATTGATACTGCCATAGACTTTTTGCAGTGTCCACGCAAAGTAATTTAAAATGCCAGTCCATAGTTTTTCTTGGTTTGATTTCCCTTTATCCATTCTGCAGAGAATATATACACAGCCACTGCTAGTGTGATAGCTCCTTTCAGGTTGGTGGCCTATTTCACCAAATGCTGGTAATGTTTTGCTCAGTGGCCCCTTATCACCATACCCTTACTTCTGTTTGCTCCTCACGTGAGCATAACCTAGCCATTCTGTTTTGATGCGCCTAGCTATTTCCACCCACTACCACCTGCAGAGGGCAAATTTCAAAGCAACTGTTCTCTGATGAGCTCTACAAAGCATGTAGGGGATTACTCTTCAGGGACTGATCTCATTTTTAGTTTTCAAAACAATATAGAGGAGTGTTGTGAAAGACCTCTTAATCACTCTTCTTAAATCCTTAAAAAGGTAAAGGATAAAGGGACCCCTGACAGTTAAGTCCAGTCACGAACGACTCTGGGGTTGCGGCGTTCATCTCGCTTTACAGGCCAAGGGAGCCAGAGTTTCTCCGCTCCACAGACAGTTTTTTCCGGGTCATGTGGCCAGCAAGACTAAGCCGCTTCTGGCGCAATGGAACACCAACACCACAGCAGCGCACGGAAATGCCATTTACCTTCCCACCGGAGCGGTACCTATTAATCTACTTGCACTTTTTGGTGTGCTTTCGAATTGCTAGGTGAGCAGGAGCAGGGACCGAGCAACGGGAGCTCACCCCGTCACGGGGATTCGAACCGCCAACCTTTTGATCAGCAAGCCCAAGGCTCAGTGGTTTAGACCACAGCGCCACCCGTGTCCCTCTAAAAGCCTTAGTTAGGTAAATTAATAGTCTTGGACAAGACCTCGGTATCAATTTATGAAGAAAAACCAAATGGAAATCATTACCCCCACACACACACTCCTGCTTTCATTTTGCCCGTTGTGGAACATGCTAACGCTTATAATGTTCACAATTGTGCTCTTTTGTACTTCTTGAGTTTCTTTTTAAGGTGTGTGTGCACAGGGATAGAAATATCTGCAGGCATGACCAGAACAAAAAAAGTTAGCAAAGGGCAGGGAAATGACTGAAGGAAATGACAGAAAAGCAGTCTACATATTGTTTCATCAAGCTCTGCCCACTCATGGGGACGGCAGGTGGTGTAAAAGCAAGGAACATCATGACTGAAAGAATGAGAGTGTGTGGATAATTGTGTGCCCATTATACACTCAAAAACTGGATCTGAATAAGAAGTTTTTGAGGTAATGCCCCCAACTAAAAGCACCCATAGTTTCCAACTCGCAGTTAGAGGCTTGATATTATGACAACTAAAAGAGGTGACAATAAAGAATAAAGCCAACCAAAGTTGACTGCATTTCCGATGCTATGACTTCTAAGTCCCCCACCTACTCCCTCCAAGGTAAAAAACATTCTACATTTTAACAAGGAAGGCAGACAAGCATATATTTATAGTCACTATAGTTTGGCACCAGTCAAATTCAGTAAAAATATGTAGAAAAACTGCATGTGAGCAGCAGGCCTCGTAACTATTAAACATAAATAATGTAGTTTTTAAGCGCTGAAGTCATCCTTCTAATTTGTAATATTGTGGCTTTTCATTAAAAAGCTGCACACAAATGACACTTTAAATGCAAATCCTAACCTTATCCAAAAGCTTGAAACTATGTCAAGGCTGAATTAAAAGTAGGTGGTGACTTAAAATATACAAATGTAAGTGTCCAGCAATATAAGAACATAATAACTAAAGGGCTTCCATAGTTATGCACATCTTTGATACTTTCTTGGGTGGAAGAATATCTTCAGGCAGAGCAAATCAGTATAGCTGGGTTGTGCTCACTGGAATATCTAGTTGTGGAGTATTAGGACAGACAGACCCATCTTCAAATGTGAGGCTATTGTTTACCATACCTGGCATGCTTTCCCTTTAAAACTGAAGGGAGAAAACTTCCTGAACTCCTTGCTTTGTATTGCTTCCATAGTTTTATTTGAACTGTTTGACTCATTTGGGAATGGCTGTGTGCTCTGTTCTGGATAGTGTTGCATTCCTCCTGAAGGATCAAGTTCATTGCTTGAAGGTGCTGTTAGATACAACCCTATCTCAGGAGGCCAAAGTGTCTTGGTAGTGCAAATAAGTGGAATATAAATGCTTAAAATAAAATATACTCCAGGTATTATTATTTCTCTTCTGAGTTACTTGATGCGGAAATAATACTGTTCAGATGTGCATATGGGTGAAAGGATAATCCTATTAAGGCCCCAGATTTCCACATTACCCAGGTATTCTGGGTAATAACTTGAGCCACTACTAGTATGGAGGAAAGCTGCTCATTCCTAGACCCTGCCCCCTTGGGACCTATGCTGCAAACAGAAAAATTAGAGTTAAGATTTGACAAAGGAAACAAGGGTATAAAATGATGATTACTACGATGAGATTATGAATTGCATATTATCAACTCACAGACCTAAGCCACTATCTGTATACCTGCACGAGATCCAGCCATTGTTTGCAGAAAAATTGTATTATTTCAGTGGAGCAGCTATTTATGTTTTTGAAATTCACATCCTAGTTAAGGTCAGATAGTGACCAATTTTAGAATTTAAAATAAGAGCTCACATTCTAAATTTTGTGTGTCAAACCCTGTAGTGACAAGCAATAACCAGTGAAGATTACTATAGCCAAATATGTGAGCTAAGTTTCTGTCATGTAATATATCACCCAAATTATGACTCTGTAAAGCTCCTTTAAGTAATATTGAATTAATGGGAAAATTAAGAATATGTTTAAAATACCTCCCATTGAAACAGGGAAAAAAATTGCTGAACTTTTGCTGGATTATGACTTTCTTCTAACAAGCCTAAGTAAGTGGAAGCCAAAATATGTTTTTAAATATATTCTGGCAGTTAACAGCCTCACAAGTTATCAGCATTCACAATCGTATGCATGCCTACTCAGAAGCAAACCCCTCTGGGTTCAAGGGACTACTCATAAGTATGTGATAAAACTGCAGCCTTAGTCACAAGTTAGATCTTAAGGGAAATGATCTTACATAATACCATTATTTAAATTGGTACATTCCCTATAATGCTATAGGAAAGACAACTTTCTATGCACTTGGAAAATTAGAGGTCCTTCACCAAACACAACTGAGCAGTAACATAAATTTCACAAAATAGTACCCCAAAACGGTGAATATTCCATTTCCTCCTCCTCACTTCATGAACCATTTCCCAAGCAAAGAACCAAATTATCACGCATATTCTATGGGATGTACTAATTCAAACAATGCCTGCAATCCTACACACATTTAGCTGGGAGTAAGTCTCACTGAACTCAATGGGACTGAAAAAGCAGACATGTATAGGATTGCGCTGGAAAAAACCAAAAAGCCAAATTTCAGCAGAATGTTCTAACTAGAGTCCAAGTGTGAACACACTGCTTTCACATATTAAATTTAATATATCCAGAGAGAATGGCTTCTTACCTTTGAAGTCTACCTCTCCATTCCCATCTGTATCGAATATATCTATTACTCGTTGTACCAGTGGATTCTGTTGTAACTCAGGCAAAGACATGAACTCTTCCACACTCAGAGAACCAGAATTATCTAAATCAAGCTTTTTAAACCTCTTTCCCAATCGTTTAATCTCATCTGCATCAACTGGGGTGGAAGGAAAGAGAAAAAAGTATATTGTTAGAAACAGTTCACTGTACTATTTTATATGAAGCAATGACACAGTAATGCAGTGGTATTTCTTTAAAAGTATATAGTAACTCTACATACTTCTATACAAAAGGGTTAGCTTTAAACATTACCAATTCAAATTGCTTACCTTTCTTCACAGGGCATGCCATGACACATTTAACCTTACAGCTCACTATAAACTACTGTATGCTGACTCAAATGTTCAAAGGAGTGATAATACTAGCTAATTCTAGTCACATGGCTGCTCAACTATATAAACATCCATCCTGCTTTATCACAGACTAGCTCTGTTAAACCGTATATAACATCATCAAGGATCTTCAAAAAGGAGTCAGCTAATATTCATTCAAAAAGAAATTCAATCATTTAAATCTCGTATCAATTTCAATTCCTTGTGATTAGGTAGAAATAAAAAAGGTGCTATTCAGATACTAGCTTAGATTGCATTGAACTGAATTCACCACAGCTGTCTCTTCTGTAGGAGGGGGGGGAAATCAAATCTGTTTTCTTGATGGATGGGATGGGCATGGTCTCATTCCAGGACCTCGTTTCTGCATGAGTACTGAAAAACTTCTAAGTCTGGCTAAAAATTTTCCCTCAAAAGGTGGAACACCTTCGATTTTTAAAAGTTTGTTCAAACTACAACTGTTACAAGAAATCAACACCTGAAAAGTTGCGGTCACAATGAAAGGCAGAGTAAACCAGTTTAGCTTTACTTGCCATGCATCTAACAGGGAAACAAATCCAAACCTGCCATATAGCAGTTTATAAACAACGATGGCTGCAGAAAATGCTTTATATTTGCAGTTTTACTTCTCCTTTGAACAGAATTCAAATGTGTCTGTGAGAAAACAAGGAATTCTCATATTGAAGAAGGTAGTTTGAGAGAGCAATTCTAACCTTCTGGTGTTTGTTTCTGGGGGGTAAAATGAAGCCCAAGCTCACTAATGATGGGGGAGATGCTTCACCGTCAAAATGGGTCTGATCTGGGTCCCTTGGCACCACTGCACCTTGGCACCACTCCTCAAAACATCCCCCCATTTTTTACCCCGAATTTTGAAAGTGATGGTGGTGTGGCTCAGCTGTTCCAATCATTCCCTAGATAAGGGTTAAGATTGCTCTGTCTGAATATGGTCACAGTATTAATTCTAGCAGAACTTTATTCTGGAATTTTCACATAGGAGTTACATAACATTTTAAAAAGGTTAAATGTATCATGCAAATAATTAAAAGGGCTGTTAAATGCAGCCAGTCAATTCTGCTGTAATAAAGAAAACCTCATACTGCCTTCAGAAGACACCCAGCTTTAGGTGTCTAAAGTTGAAGTGTAATTTGGAGCTAGGAAACCGCCCACCTCTTTGTATATTTATGCTGTTCAAAATTTATGAAATTCATGTGCAGGAGTAACCACTATGATGAAGATACAACTTATTAATTCTTGTTTCAAATCAAAACATAATAATGAATTCACTGGTGATTTTATGCAGACCACCATTTGTGAAAATAAGGTGAGCCATGCCTATAGGAATATTGTAGGAATTGTGTCAGGAAAAGAAAGTGATCCCCCTCAGTATGTAGAACTTCTTGAATCAAGGCCAGAAGACTACAAGAAACCAGTGCAGATGCTTGAAACCTAGATAGGGCAACTTTGTGATTATAAATGACAAAAGGCAAGATGTAACCTGTTTTTAAAGGTTTACGATTTAAAAATGGATCTTTGATAAATTGGGAAATGGGAGAGAACTCAAAGGAGCTGGGCCTGCTGGCTAAAGACTGAAAGGCTACCCAATAAAACTGTTCTGTTCTTTAGTTACATTCTTATGTCATAGAATCAATTTCATATTCAAGAAACCCAGAAGGGTGTCTTAGCTTAACAACCGGGGCTGTGTAACCAGTTTGTGCTGTGCATGGGGTAAGGGTAGCCTCTGAAATCTAGAGTAAAAGGAGATATTATTCGAAAGCCCAAATTCACTGTCTCCTAAATGCTGAACAGACACAATATAAGAATGTTTGAAAAAGTTGGTGATCAGTTAGTTTGGTGGTTTTGTTAATATTTCAGCTTGTCTGAGTTTCCTCTAGTCCTTTCCAGCCTTATACCCATGTTTGATTGGGGAAAGAAAGGATGGAAGAAAACCAGCAGTCCCATCCTCTTATTTTAAAAATATTAATTCTTGTCTGTCTTATCTTATTTAGGGCAGTGTCACACATTCCTCCAATTTTGGCCCTATTTTTGAAAGCACAGCGTTCTCTTGGTGCATGTAATTATTTCCTATACTACCAGGCCCTCATTCTATTAGCAGTGGTTAGTTTATTGTCTTGTCTCTCTTTTTTGTTTAGATTTGCAAATATTAGTTTTTCCTGATCACCATCTCAATTCTGGAATCAAGTCAGGATCACCCCAGGGCCAATCCGGATTACCAAATCCATTTTGAAATGGGGGGGCGGGCGCATGAACAGCCCTACTAACACTGTTGTGCGTGTGTTGAAACATACAGTGTCAACATGAGCAGGGGGAGGGTCATGTCCTTGGGGAGAAAAGTGTGTCTTCGTGTGAGGTGGAAGTCCTGTCTGGCAAGATGATTCTATGTGGAGGGCAGATACATTCACAGGTCTCAGGCTATATAGGAGGTTTCTGAACAGCTAGCATGACACATGATGTACTGGAATAGATGCACATTCTGCACATTAGCATGGGTTTTTAATTGCTGGTTTAGACTCTACCATAAATACGTAAGGGTGCAATTCAATGTTGTGCAAGTGTACTTCCACTTACACAATGGGATTTCATCTCCCTCTCCCCTCTCTCTCTCTCACACACAGCCCCGCTCCCACCATACCACCAAGATCTGTTCAATCCCCTAACCTTTGAAATTGATTGTGAAGTGTGAGGACGTCTCACTGTGCAAGTGGAATTCCATTCTGCTTGTGCACAAACTTTGTTGGATTCAACCTCAAGCATTCACTGAAGAAGCATACATTATAAGAAAGCAATAACTAAAAACTGCACTAAGGCATACTTCATACAATTACAAAAATGTTACAATTACATTATATAGAGCCTTCAAAATCACAGCTTAGTAGAAAAAAGTGTTAACGTAGGTTTGAACTTACAATGTGAGCACATTTCCAGTGGGTAGCTTGCCTCATTTCCCTGAAAAAAAGGGGGGAAACAAAGTTACAAATGCACCTTTATAGACAGTTTGTGAAGTTAAGTAATAACCTTTTATATACCTATTTTTGTTTCCTGTTCTTATTTCCAAAACCACATACACCAGAAATTTCATTCTAAGTCATTAATAGGTAGTGGTGCCACCTCTGGTTGCTGCCTTCTTGGCACAGACTTGCAACAAGGCCTTCTCGGAGGGGATTGTCTGTGGAATCTCCTTCCTGCTAAGTTGTATCCCTCATTATTGACTATTCAAAAACATCCTCTTTACTTAAGCATTTGATGCCTGAAAGTTACCTTGAAATTAATAACTGTGAGGTACATTATTATTTAAATGTTTTTACATGCTCTAAAATGATTATTTTAAAATATTTTTAACAAGTTTATTTTTTTATTTAAAATTGCATTGCTTTAACATTTTTAATGTTAGTCACCATGGGCTGCTTTGGGAGGAAAAGTGGGACAGAAATATAATAAATAATAATCCCTGATATACTGAATTTATTCCCAGGAAAAGCATCAGCAGGTAGGAATAAAATTCCTAATAAAAGAGTGAATCAATTTACATATAAAATATGTAAGAACAGAACAGGTCCAAGTCTAAATACATCTCAAGATTTTACATGCTATATATGGAAAAAACACCCTGAAACACTATGAGTACTAGCCAACCAGGTAATACTCAAAGTACACTCACTGAGATCAATGGATTGTAGTAACAAGCCTGTTTATTTCAATGTGTGCACTGTGAGAATGACTTAGATTGATGTTATTGTATTATGACATTTCCAGAGCTGTTTTCAGCAGGAACGCACCAGAACTAAGTTCCAGCACCTCTCAGGTGGGTGCCATTGTCATTATAAGATAACAAGGGAGGTGTTCATGGTGAGTTCCAGCACCTCTTTTTCTAGAAAAATAAATGTTCAATAACCTTTATTGAACATTTGTACCGTAGCCTTTCAGCTGAGTCAGAGCAGAATGCACAGAGTTCACGGTAGTATTGTAACAAAAAAAAAGAAAAAGACAAGAGCTCTTGGCTCCTGAAAAGAATTCTATTTAGGTAGTCATTTGATTTAACTGAATCCTCAGATGTGCTCTTTTTCCAGGGGTAAAAAGGTAAAGGTAAAGGACCCCTAGACGGTTAAGCCCAGCCAAGGGCGACTATGGGGTTGTGGCGCTCATCTCCCTTTCATGCCGAAGGAGCCAGCATTTGTCCACAGACAGCTTTCTGGGTTATGTGGCCAGCATGACTAAACCACTTTTGGGGTACAATGCTTGTGGTTCTAAAGGTTCAGATTACTTCTGAGCTCCTGGCTATTTGGGGTCACTTGGAGAATGGAAATACAGTGGTGCCTCGCAAGACGAAAAGAATCCGTTCCGCGATTCTCTTCGTCTAGTGGTTTTTTCGTCTTGCGAAGCAAGCCCATTGACAGCTTAGCGGATTGGCGCTACAGCGGTCTAGCGGCTTTTCGAGATCAGCTGTTAAGCGGCTTATCAGCGGAACAGCTGATAGGCGGCTTAGCGGCTTAGGAAAAGGGGGGGGAGTGAAAAAAACCCGCGGGGACTCGCAATATTTTTTCGTCTTGCGAAGCAACCCCATAGGGAAATTCGTTTTGCGAAGCGCCTCCAAAACGGAAAACCCTTTCGTCTAGCGGGTTTTCCGTCTTGTGAGGCGTTCGTCTTGCGGGGCACCACTGTAATCTGGGCCTTTAGAACCAACTAACAGGGCTGCCTTTGAAAAAGGGTGCAAGCTTGAAACACCTCAAGCAGGTGAATTAAATAAACAATTCTGTAAATAAACTATCAGTACATAAAAGGTATGCCTCTTTCCTTTTTTGTCACCATTTTGATGATGTCTCTCTCTGGTCTTCCCACCCCAAAAAGATACCTATCCAAAGAACTGACACTTTGGTGGCGATACATTTTTCCATCAGCTAACAAGTCTTCGCATACAGAATTCACAACCTAATTCACAGATCGAATCACTTTATCTACCATAGATCCCCTCAATTACCTCTAAGGTGTGAAGGCAATACCACCTGGGCCTCCAAATCCTATAGCTTTGCTCTTAGACTTAAAGGTGTACAAGCAACTTGAAATTGCACAACAAGCTATGCTATTTTATCAAATCGGCACACATCCTCAACATTTCTATGTGGCTGGCAGCCAACATAGCTGCTAATTGCAAAGAACATGGAGGTGGATCAGAAGAAAAGCACTGCTTTTTCACAGTACAGTTCCCAAAGCCTAATTATGTGCTGAACCTGGGTATACAAAGCTACCATGAGCATGTGCCACCCTTAAGTCATCTTTGAAGCTTTTAGCACAGTAACTGGTCAAAGTGAGAGCCTAGGCAGTGATTTGGATCCAAATATACCCTTCCTGCAAATATCAGAGCTCCTTTGATTGGTGGAAGGGTCTCTAGCAGAGGCTCTCACTGGAGGAAGGGTGGTGATTTTCACCTAGCGCACTCTCTCTCTCTCTCTCTCTCTCTCACACACACACACACACACACAGTAACAAATTAGAGTGGTATCTTGGTTCTCAAACTTAATTCGTTCTGGGAGTCCGTTTGACTCCTGAAACTGCTGGTGCAGCTTCCGATTGGCGCAGCTTCCTACACTCAAGCAGAAGCCGCTTCGGACATTCAGCTTCCAAAAAACATTCGCAAACCAGAACATTTACTTCCTGGTTTGTGGCATTTGGGAGCCGATTTGTTTAGCAACTAAGCTGACATACCAATAATGGAACAACCAAAACACAAAACCAATTAAACACACAGTAACATCTGGAGTAAAAACTCAAATAAAACCAAATCAAATCTATCCCAAGCACCTGCTTATCACATTGTCACAACAGAGTTTGGGTTTTTTTCACTCACAGAGAAACTGCAAAAGATGGCACCAAGAACATTAAAAGTCACTCAAGGATAAAACACACCTATTTCTACAAACACCATAGCACAACTCGGATATTCCGGCATAACCAAGTAAATAAGTACTGAGAGAGAAAAGTACAGACACTATCAAATCTATACAGTTTATAATATACTAGGAGTAAGTCCCAATGGATTTGATAGAACTGACTTCTGAGTAGACATGGTTAGGATTATGCAGTAGCATGTGTCATTATGGCCAGATCTGCTTTCTCTAGGTGGACACAATTCATGCATCACCCCAACCTGAGCAAATGCAGGTGTGCCTACCATATAGCTGTACATTGCTTAGCTAGAGTGTAGACCAGTGACTATGTTCAAACACTGTGCAGCTTTATTCCAAAAAATCCATATTAGGGAAATATTTTTATAAAGCCAACCAAAATATTACAAGATAGGGTGCAAGCTTTTGTGTTCTCCGGAACTCTTTATCATGTTAGATTAGGGATTGTGAATTCATTTCAGCCAGCGGACCTCGTTGCCTCATGGGCAACCCTGCATGGGCCCCATGCCAGCAGTGGCTGCAGCAACAGATGTGACTTCTATCTTTCTACGGTAAGCTATAGTTCAGTAACATAAACTCAGCAGTTCCTACACTACATCCCTCTATCCAGGCAAGCAAAATACATTACTACAGTTCAAAGACACAATACAGTAAAGGTAAAGAACCAGACAAGAGAGGCTGGCAGTCTGCATTTGGTCCCAAGGTCTGAGGCTCCACACTTCTGGATGGAATGGTAAACAGAGCAATTGAGGGAAGGGGGGGAAGGGGGGAATTAATTGATATGGAAGCCCTAGAATCTGCATCTGGTCACAGTATTAAGAGGGAATGGAAAAGGAATTTAAGGACTTCAAATGGGGTTCTTTAGGTGCAATGCATGTATCAGGTTGTAACAAGGTCTTCTGAAAATAAGAAGCATAATAATGTTCAACTCTCCAGACTGGTAATATAGCAAACTCAGAAAAGTGCACAGCTAATGTCATGTTTGTATTTTTCTTCTTAACGACAGAGGAATCTGGTCAAACTTTTGAGGGAGGATGAAAAAGGAGACTTCAAGCAGTGAAGATTTTCTAACCTGATACTGAAAGGTTAGAATTAAGATCACTGAAAACCAGAGGACAGAAAGAGAGGTCTACAGCTGACGGACACTTAACCTGGGGAGCAGTTGTCTATGACTCACTAACTATTTATAGTCATGGAGAGGAATCAACTTAAGACTTGGCTGTAATGCACAGATCTATCACAGCAGTAGATCTTAGGAATGGAGACATCGGAGTTTAAATCACAGGCCCTTAAAATGTTTGACCATTTAAAAGTATTTGGTCAAAGTAAAAAGTATTTACTTTCAACACAAAAACTTAAAGTTCCTCTGAGCTATTTTGCCCTATTATCAGAAACAATGAATGCTGAGGCCTGCACATCACTAGGCCACTGTAGTCCAAAATTGCCATGTTTGATTGCCATGACACTTCTTGAAAAGTGGAGAGAGAGAGAATGTGGTCCTTTTACTGAGCAAGCACACAGAGAGAAAAAAGTTAGGCAACACAAATATTTTAATTTGAAAACTACATAGCAGTCTAACCTATGTGCAATAAAAAAAAAACAGAGAACGTTTAGACAGAATGGCTAATGAACACAATGACCTGCTTGGCCAACCCTTTAGTGAAAAGCAATGCTAAGCATATAGAGAAATATCAAACGTACTTTTCATTGATTTGGAGGCTATGTGGTCTACCAAACCATGTTGCTTTGATGGAATGTGCTGTTACCAACAACCCGTGGGGTAGGAATGAAACTGTATAAGTCAAGTAAGACACCTACGGTCTTCTGCCTCAAAAGAAAAAGTTTCATGTTACCTCAGCATGACTAGACATAAATTAAATGGGATTCAGTTGGCAAGAGAATCACATTTTGTTCCAGAGGCAAGTTATATCTCCACACTTTCAAGCAAATTGGGACCTGTGTGTAGTGGAGCATCTGCAACAGGAGCAATCTTTTCTCTTTTAAAAAACACTGATCCCGAGGAACCATTCAAAAGCGAACTCACTA